TGGTGAAACGAGAGTGATCTAAAGGGGAGAACAAAGATCCGATTCAAAAAGCCCCCCAAATACAAATAAAAACTCAAGAAACACTAGCCCAACAGCATTTAAAACATTACGCTTGCTGCTTTCAAACCACTAATTTAAAATGAGTTGATTTAACACAATTCTTAAAGTTTTTTTGGGGCAGCGTAATTGTTTTATGTTCGTTCCACTTAAATTTGTACAAATAATTAAGTTAACCTAATCGATTTGTGTCGGGGCAACATGAAGGTATTGTGTGGAACCCAGCATTTTTTACAGCGAGTGCTGATATAAACTGTTACCTCCCTCATTCTCATCAAGATAAAAGCAGCCCGTCGCATTTCGCAATGTTGAACTGAAACCCCTCATTCAACATTTACACATATCGCTTGCAGAAAGGGAGTTACTTTAGGCCTTAACGCTGCATACTAAGCCTCCTCACACCCAATAACCATCTAACATGCATTTGCTTCCTGCACCAGCTTGACATGCTCATCTTCGGATATGCTGCAACATTTCCTCCTCTAACCCAGTGATGTAATACATACTTCTGCTGAAGGCCACACAGAAGGAGGTCGCGCACATCAAGGGCATTAAAGACCTCTTAATATTCAGAATTCAAACTGAAAGGGCACATTCTACCTGCAGCTCTTTTGGGACATTTGAGCCTGAAAGATCTCACTATGGGTCACTGCTGATCTGCTCTTTTTTTTTTTTTTTGTGGACAATGGTTATGGCTCTGCAGAGCTCCATTGTGCTTTCCATTGACGTCCTGTCTGGCATCAGTAATGAGCAGGATGGATGCCTCTTACATATTCTGCAACCTGTGTGTGCAAACCCACCCACCCACTGTAAAAACTCCATAGCCTGCTTGTCTCTCCATAAAATGCTGGCATTACTGATGCTAATTAGGCTACAAGGACAGCAGGATTTGCCTGCAATGTTTAGATGAAGCACAAGGCAACATTTTAAAATAAACTACACCACCAAGCCATGCAGGAATGATTCATAACGGCCCATGGCCAGGGATGTAACGTAATCATGCACATCTCAAGCACAAAGAATGTAATAAATCAAAAAGGAACAAAAGAACCCAAAGTAAAAGACATAGCAAGCACTGAAGTGAGAAATGCATGCTTATGCACTGATGAAAGTTGCCTTCAGTGGATGAAATAGCATGAATCAGACAAAGCAGAAACGCCCCCCTGCGCATGAACATACAGCAGCCTGTATGCATTGTGTGTGCAGACTGTGATTAATCTGCCATTATCAAACACACGTGAGAGCATTTCAAGTACAATAGATGGAAAAGACCCAGGGATCCTTTTGATCAGACTAGGGATCATCTCATCCTTTAATCTGAGGTTTATATTAGAGTTCAGATTAATAAAGCAGCATATATACACGGGATTGATTAGTGAGGTTGCTGAGGTGATTCAAATATTACGGATTCATCTCAGATCCTACGCACAAGGTGAAATGAGACTGATCTATAAATAAATGGTGAAATGAGAGTGATCTAAAGGAGAATGGCAGCACAAAGAGAACTCACCCACAGCAAACATACAACGATGACAATGACAACGGCTGCAGCAGTCAGCAAACTAACATTGCCATCATCTCTGGAGGAAGAGTTTGATCCTATTTTAGACAGGATCTGGAGATCTTCAGCGTAATCGACGTCAAACTGTCTGCGTTGAAATCCCAGTGTGACGAAGGTTTATCTGGCCGATGAGGATACAAGATCCCGCTTTCCAAATGCTGACAAAGCTATTTTGATTGGCTTTCTTCTCCTTTCCACGTCCTATAAGCACCTCTGCCAACGGGCCTTTGCTATTTTTTGCTTAGCTCTTGGTCCAAAGCCGTCGCCCATGAAATTATTCTGTCCCTTTAAAAACAATACTTCCGGGATTTGCTGAAAAATAACTAGGGGGCGGAACGTTCGAACAGCTGAAGGGCTGTCATTTAAGCGATTGGTCGCTTTCCCTATCAAGAACCAATAACAATTGCCTATTTAGGCTATATTTGAATATATTTGAATAACAGTAATATATTACGGCGAAAGAGACTCCTATTGGTTCCGTGAAACGCAACGACTTTTCAAGCCACGCCCATGTACACGTGCTATTTGTTCCTTTTACTCCGCTGGTGGAGAAACGTACAGGACAAAAATAGGGTTTATAGATCGACGGACTGGTAATATAAATATAATGTTTAGTAATACTTGATGATGTAGACCAATTTAAACAAGTAAATAATAACCCTTTTAAGGACAGTGATTACAGTCCGGAATAAATTACTATTTTAAATTTTTTTATTAGTGTTTAAATCTTAGCAAGGCATTATTTGCGCTTAAAATACAGTGAAACATGTGAAACAACACAAAAAATTATTTTGTTTTAAAATGTAACCCATTCTCGTGATGCATAACTGACCTAGTGCTATATATATATATATATATATAT